TGTCCGTCCGTCCGTGACTTCACGTTTTCGTTGACGAGAAAATGGGCTCTCTGTCACTCACTGCAGTGAGTACTGACTTATATTTTTTGTTCATTTATTAGAATAATTTGACCTAAAAAATTCTCAAAAACTCACAACAGTGTGGCTTAAAATAAGTTAAAACAAATAACAATGCAACCAGTCGTTATTTATTCGTACATTATCATCAATCTTAGGGAGCTAATTAGTCCCTCTAGTGTTTAGAGCCTTGGTGCTCAGTAAATCTATTTAAAACCTGGTGATTCCTTCGCATTTTTCGGGGCTTTTCCATACCTAAAATAACGTAGAGGCGGAAGATAGCCTCCCTCCCCTGACGGTCAAGATGGTGCGAGCAACATGAATATTACACACAATACCTAAGATTAACTTGCAATATAACTAGCAATACCTCTTCCGTTGATAGAAGGAACTGATGATTCAAATTGAACTGAGAAAGATTCCACTTACATTTAAATGTTTAAAATTAATCAATGCAAACATAATGATCTATTTAATATAATATTTAACTGTGATCTACCCCTTCAATATTCAACATAATGGAAATGCTCGTGAATAAATATAGAATAAATTATTAATTAAATAAATTACTATTAGGTAGTCAAATTTTGCTCATTCTTATCTACGCTCGCTAGAGAGCATTAACGCCTCATTCATTATTCTGATGAGTCTCGATGTTGCTGTTTAGAGTTTGTTGTTCTCAACAGTAATGAAAGCGAGACAAATTCAAATTGGAATTGGCACCATGAGCTTTTGAATACCAATTTTATAATTGAGTGCGTGGGTATATAAATTTTATACCAATTAAATTTTATACCAACTATTTTATACCAATTATTTTATACCAATTATACAATACCAATTAAAAATTTTATACCAATTATATAATACCAATTAAAAATTTTGTACCAATTATACAACACCGATTTTATACTTGAGTGCGTGGGTATATTCAATGATCGAACAGTTTGCTGGCGCTCATGTCCATATCCTTCAATAATAGCGGTTAGCGGTTTCAGCGTTTTTTATAGTTAGCGGTTAGCGGTTTCAGCGTTTATTATAGCCGTAGGCCTGTCGCCGATTCTTAACATCGCAGAACATTCACAGCATTTTGCGGTCTCGAACTCGCAACTCACTGCTACAATTCTGCTGTGCTTAACCGCCCGTCCTCCTCGCCGATTCTGACCAGAAACTGGCGCACAGAGCTGGGATCGCGGGATAAATAATAAATATAAAAATAAACAACAAAAAAAAAAATAAAAAAAATAAAATAAAATAAAAAAAGGGAGGATAGTTTCTAGTTTGCTCTTGTCGTATCCGTAACTCAATCCGATCGATTTCCAAGCTACATGTGTTTGCTCGCCCTAGTATAATATGATCCTGAGTTTGTAAGTTAATGTGTATGCGAGCGTATGTTAGTGTGTTTGTTAATGCCTTCATAGTGTTCTTCTAAATGATTTTGAGTGCGGGTCTGCGCGTATACAGTACGTATATTTGTACGGTGAGTTTGTTCTGTATGTGCGTGCGTTCTCAAGTTTACACGTGTGCAGTGTGGCTACGTTACACGTACTTTAGAATGTTTCTGCTAGAACAATTGTTTCTATGAAGAATAATATTATTCTCGCTTGTAATGACGCATATATACACTGTTAGAAAAAACGGTGAAAAAACGGTCCCACCGGCGTTCTAGTGGCCGGTCGCCCCGTGAAAATAAACTGTTTCGCCGTTTTTATAAGATGTTTTACGGATTTCTAGCGTTAAGTTAGAATAAAAACGGCGACACGGTGTTTCTTTTTACGTGCCGACCGGCCACTGAAACGCCGGTAATACCGTTAACGGTCATTTTTCTAACTGTGTATGACAGTCAAAGTTGAGTTGTGCATGAATCTCAACACGTGGCGAGGTGGCCGAGTGGTTAAGGCGTTGGACTGCTAATCCAATACGGTCTCCGTGCGTGAGTTCGAATCTCATCCTCGTCGAAACATTTTAGCGGACCGGCTTTCAAAACTGGCTAAGTGAACGTAAGTACTTACGCTCCATTTTCTTGTCTATGATTGGTGGATTTTGCTTGAAAGGCCGTCAATGATTGGCTGATGAACTTACGATCTCTTAACTTTTTTTGAAAGTATTGGCCCTGGGGACATACTTTCAAAACTCGCTAAGTGAACGTAAGTACTTACGCTCCATTTTCTTGTCTATGATTGGTGGATTTTGCTTGCGTGGCTGTCAATGATTGGCTGAAGGACTTACGATCTCTTAATTTTTTTTGAAAGTATGGACCCCGCGGATTGTCATGATGGCGCAATATGAGATAAATGAGTAATTTGTAATGTTGGTTTTCATTACTACAGAACTGCTTGCTTGGAGGAAGATTGGTGGTATACGTGTATACTCTGAGAAAGCCGCGTACGAAGGAATGAGGCTGACAACCATCTGTTGTCATCTCATATCGAACATCTTCTTACTCATTGAAATTTTTTCTCAACATAAGCTAATAGGGATCTGGTGACAAGAGAGTACCTACTCAAAATATCGAGTTCAGCAGATTATAATCATCTTTTTAATAATTTTATATATAATTACTGGTTTGGACTGGGATCTACCTCTTGCTTCATCACATAGCATAGCCAATGTCAATTAACTTCTGATTTTAAGCACAAATTTCAAAAATTTTGATTATAGATTAAACTCTTGATTTTAAGCACATATTTTATAATAGATACGTCGATGACACGTTCGTGATCTTCAAGCATTGCCCTCACGCGGGCCTTGCACTGTTTCACTAAAAAAATAAGTAATTATTTCGAGATTTACCGAATAGATGGCGTGTGATCAGTTACAAATTTGACTTAAATATACGAGATTGAGAGTAAAAATTTGCTGGAAATTACCCGTAAAATTACCAGGCATGTTTTAAGGTAAGCGCCGTTTTCAATTTCAGACGCCGCATCGCAGCGGCCGCCATTTAACACGTTGACTACGATTGCTTCATCTTGTACAATTATTTTATTTTTTGTACTTTTTTGAGCAGGGTTGCCAGACGGTCATTTTTTCCGGACAAATTCCGTGATTTAGTTTTTCTCAATTGCGTTGGCCGGCTAAAATTTATGTATAGGGGTACTTCCTAATTAAATTTTAAATACTGCAAAAAGAAAATAAATGAAATTTTTATAGCGGAACTTACAAATAAACTAGTATACATTGAATTATCGGCCTTTTTTGCCTTTTTTGTTCTCGGATTTGGCCAATTTTAGGCAACCTAGTTGGTAGAAATGATCAAAGTTCGTCAGTAATCACTGAGCGCTCGTGTTATTTATGAGGAACCCGGTTATATATGTGCTTCGTCTCCGGCCGTATGAAATAGAGTCGACTTAATTGGTTGGCGAGACGAGAGCTGCTTATATATACGTACTCGTGTTGATGAGATGAAATGTAACCACAAGTTTTTCAACTCAAGTTGTAGCTGGACTCGGCCACAAGTTTTCCGTTTCAAGTTGTAGCTGGACTCGGCCACAAGTTGTCCAACTAAAGTTGTAGCTGGACTCGGCCACAAGTTTTTCTACTCAAGTTGTAGCTGGACTCGGCCACAAGTTGTCCAACTAAAGTTGTAGCTGGACTCGTCCACAAGTTTTTCTACTCAAGTTGTAGCTGGACTCCGACGATCCTGCGTTAGCCAAGGGCCGTGGAATCTACAGGGAACTTTCTTTGACTCGTTAATTAGTTTATTTTGATAAGCGATGGCGGATGTTCTATAACATGCACGCTAATTATATAAGCTTTTAGTAAGTATTAATAAACTGTAGCACCTGCGTTTTCAAGTTTGAGTGCAGTTCTTGCAAGTTGAAAAGAACATGAAGAAGTTCAGGCTTCGTAACATACGGCAGTATGACCTAAGTAATTTGATAGTTAGTGAATTTTTATTCGTTCTTCATACTTAAACATTCATAATACTAGCTATGACGATTTATTAAGTGTAAACACCATATTAAGCATACTAGGACTTCACACAAAATGCTCACCAATAAAAAGATCAGCGCTATAAAATATTCCCTGCCAGGGATCGCGGTTGTCTCCGTATAGCGATTTGGTCGTCACGTGTCGCGACGCGTTCATCAGAACACATTGATTGTTCTCCTTCACTTCTACTGCTCTAATTTCTTTGACTTCATCGTGATAGAATAGAATAGAATAGAAGTGTCGGCACTGAAGAAATAGGCCCATGGCCTGTTGCCGATTCTTGAACTTTTCGTGACTTGATTCACAAGGGATCCGGCCTTTGGAACCCGATCTTTCCATAGCTGACGATTGATTGAGATAGCTGCTGAACTTATTGCCTGCTCCGTAATTTGCTAGGCATTTTAAGACTGATATTCATCCTTACATTTGTATAGTCATCAATTATTGTGATGAAGCGCCAAACTAGCAAGCATGTAATCAACTTGACAGCTAAATTGTTAACAGGATTTTGCCGATGTCTTCTTTTGGGCTGAAAATATATTTAATATACAGCTGCAGGCCTGCAGCTCAAGGTCAACTGACCACCTTACAAGAAAGCACTCACAGCCATGTACCTCATGTAATAATCTAGCTATAATTAATAAATTATAATCGAAAATTATCAAACGGGAAAATTAATTATAAGTGACATTATATACAGTATGGCGCACTCCGTCTTCTATGATGACTAAAAAGAAGTTACGCTAAAAAACGTAGAAGTTACTTGAAACACTTGCTTGAAGATGCAGAACCTCCCTAGCATGATGTTTTGTGTTTATTTATATCACTCTAGTCGTTCGTGGGAATGACTCATCTTGGGGACTTGAGTGACAAAAGGATAAATTTATTTGTTTTGTTGACATGGAAAGAGAATAAAGAGAATCCTTGCAACAAAAGGCTTTTAAAGGATATGATTTACAAGGAGACTTGGCACCACTGCAGCGCAGCAATGTAGTTGTGAAGTGTGGACTGCCCGCAGTTGCAAGCAGATAATGGAGATAGAAGGGTGAGTGAGAAATAGGGCTCCGGAACGAGCAGTTCTTATTGTGAATTTTCGTTTTTGCTGAGTGCGTGCAAGAGAAAATTATATTCATTTGCCAATTCCTTAAAGTCTCGACATCTAAGAAGTATTTTTGGCTGAAAAACCACTTTGAAGACTATGGGTATGGGAACGTCAACCTGCATGAGTGCGCTAAGAAACACATCACACTGCACACAAATAATTGTGAAACTATTATATAGATTATAGATGAATAATCAGCTACTGAAATAAAAATATGCTCGTAATAATCATACATTGATGTGAGCCTAACCTTAGCACAATTAATCAAACGAATTTACACATGTTAATGCGTCTTTAACACATCTTAAGGATCCGGTCAAATGAAACTATTTTAGATCTTCTGTGAACAAGGCACGAAAAGGAAAAGACTCGGCGACAGGCCACATCAGGCCTACACTCCAGCGCCGACATCACTATGTTATGTTATGTTATGTTATGTTATGTTATGTTATGTTATGTTATGTTATGTTATGTTATGTTATGTTATGTTATGTTATGTTATGTTACTGTCTCTTATACACATCTAGATGTGTATAAGAGACAGGGAGTGGGGCTATCTGCCCTGGAGTGGGGCTATCTGCCCTGGAGTTGGGCTATCTGCCCTGGAGTGGGGCTTTCTGCCCTGGGATGGTGCTCTCTGCCCCGGTGTGGTCTCCACTTTGGTGGCACCGTTCTGCAGCTCTTCACCCATTGAGAAATCTTCAGTTTTTTTCAAGACACCCAATTTTGTACCTGAAAACAAAATTCAGTCTAATTCCTTGAACCATTCTGACATGGGGCCGCATTGAACCAGTCTTCAGAGGCTCCCATAAATTCCAATTAAAGAAAAAAAAAGAAGACTGGAGAGTGCAGTGGGAGTACAACGGACGTGTGTAAGTTTTTCTGCCCATTTATCGACGTCTGACGACGAATAGTTAATTGAGATTATTGCCTTGATAGTTGAATTTTTCATTGCATTAATAGTTGAATCCGTCAAATTGCACAAAAAATGGATAAAATGCCCAAACGCAGGAAAAAGGAACAAGGTGATACTGCTTCAGTATCATCTGACTGCTCCGAGACCAACTCTCAATCTGCATCACTCTCTAAGCCTAATCTCTCTGGAAGTGCAATACTGACCTGGTCTCAAATGCTGCCTCTCAGCCAGTCAGCCTCAATGATACTGTCCTACCTACTACCTAGTGCAGAGGTCATGGTGCCAATCCATAGGTTATTCAAAAGAACCTGTTCTTATGTCATTTTGAACCGATCAACACTTCTTTATGGACCGATCGTAAAACACACCTTCACCGGCAAAAGCTTTCACACATCTGAAGAAGGTGAGCTGACAGCTACACTGGCCATGGGGTGTGGGTGGACCTAATTTGAATTTGAATGCATGCAGCGATTCAAATTCCTATAGACTGTGATAGACATAGTATACAAGTCATAGAGCCTAAATTTTTAATATCTATAAAAAAATGTACGTTTCTGCATGTATTATAATGCTGTTAACATTAGCAAACTTTTAATTATCTCTGATGCAAGAAATACTTGCTTAAATCATTTTATTTTCAATATAAGCGACTGGATGCAACAATCGGTTC